GAGTAAGGTCTGCAAGAGTAAGGGCTGCAAGAGTAAGGCCTCCAAGAATAATGTCTGCAAGAGTAAGGTCTGCAAGAGTAAGGCCTGCAAGAGTAAGGTCTGCAAGAGTAAGGCCTGCAAGAGTAAGGCCTGCAAAAGTACGGCCTGTAAGAGCAATGGCTGCAAGAGTAAATCCTGCAAGAATAAAGGTATGCAAAAGTAAGACCTTCAAGATTAAGGCCTGAAAAGGTAAAACCTGCAAGGTTCAACGGCCATTACCCTTACTGGCGAAATGAGAGCAAACTAACTTCTGCCCTCCTCAATAAAATCTACACAGTCACGCATGCCAGCACGAACACACACGAATACTCACGCACGCACGCACGCGTGACAATCTCGGACACACGAGCATGGCAAGCAGCGGTCGTTGCTGTTCGATGACTCACGCACATAAAGAGGCTTCAATCAGACAGCTAGAGACGCCAGCTCCTGCTGAGCCGATCTGTAAAGGGTTCCGCAGAGAAAATCGCCACTAATCGCTTGCTTCCCAGCGAATTCTCGCAGCCGCTGACATCCCTGCTCTGCTTCGCATATAGTACGAAGATGTGTGCTCTTGTGCTGCCACGCTATGCCAATCTGTGCGTAATACCAGCCCACAGTCAGTGTTTACTGCCATCTAACGGTTACTGCTTATTACTAGCAGAAATGAGTCTGCCAGAGAACGATGCTTGCTGGCAGAGAACACGAAGTCAGTGCTCAACACCAGTGAACGGTCACTAACAGTCAAAGATTATTACTAGAGAACAACCAAGCACGAACGTATCGCTTAAACCTCGTCACTCCCCCTTTCCAGACCGCCTAAAGACACAAACCTAGGTGGATGGCAATGCAGGAACCCCAATTCGCTCCCACGCGATTGACATCACCCTAGCTATGTAGATGCCCAGGAACCGCGGTTCGTTTCCCCTTAGATCACACAGGCGACCACTGCCACTGTAAGCATTGCGTAGATGGGTAGATACAGCAGGGGGCAGGCAGACAGGCCGACGACGCAGCATCATCCATGCGCTCGACTCTTCTCGCTGCTGACTCACAGAGCGCAAAACCCCTCGCTGCATATAAATTTTTGCCTTTAATGGAGCGCCGCCAATCGAGGCATCAGGCGTGCGGGCGTCCGCTGATTGAATTATTTTTACGCGTCGTCATTGTTGCTTGTCGTAAACAGCGAGGCTTGGCAGCGTATACACAACGCTGGCCGGCCGACACCATAAGCCTACCCAAGCTCCCTTAAAATATATGCGTGCGTGCGTGCGTGTGTGTGCGTGCGTGTGGGTGCGTACGTATGTATGCTATACGAACACGCAGACACAATGTTACAGCATACCACAGCATAAGTCTCCCCCACGCTCCCTTAAATATGCGTGCGTGCGTGCGTGCGTGCGTGCGTGCGTGCGTGCGTGTGTGTGCGTGCGTATGTATGCTATACGAACACGCAGACACAATATTACAGCATACGACAGCATAAGCCTCCCACGCTCCCTTA